ACCTCTTGATAAGCAGAACAATATCCTGTCCCTGCACTGTGCAGGTTTTATCCTAGTTGTGGGCACTCCATATGCATATATCCTGTGCTTTTGGAAAGGATCACAGATTTCTGTGTTAGGACACCCTGTTTCCTTGCTTTAGGGTACTGCTTTTAAGACCAGTAATTGGATCCTTTTTTTTTTTTCCTAATGGCATCCCTGAGCATCAGGCTCTGGGATGGTGAAAAAAGGTGTGGGGAGCAAAAATGGCCTTTAGCATCCTCTGAGGTTTTGCAGGTCCCAGAGGGGAGGTTTGAAGTGCAGAATGGTTTTGTGTCACAAAGCAGAAGTGCAAGCAAGGTGCTGTGGCGTGGCACTGGAGTGTCTGAGGATGATGCTGATGTCCCCAGCCCTGTGGGCACCCATGGCTGGAAGTGGCCAGGTGGGCATTAACCATGTGGACCTTGGCACTCAGAGCTTGCAGGGGCTGCTGCTGCAATCAAACCCCCATCACTTTTCTTGAGCCGACATATTAAAGCTCTAGGCACCTCTGGTGCCTGCATAAATCCTTCCTATTATGGTTGAAATGGCTGAAGGTCCTGTGAATTGCTGTCCTGCTCTGCCCGGGGGCCAGTGAGGAGAGGATGAGGAGCAGAAGCACCAGAGCAGGGCACTGCCAGGGAATGTGTCTATAGGGCACTGCATCCGAACCAACTCCCACAAAAGGGTGAGAGGCTCTGGCAAGCTTCTGCGCCTCTTCTTCTCTTCCCCATACACCCTCTCTTCCCACCTTTCTTAATCCAGACAGAATAAATCCTTGTATAGATATAAAAAAATTAGCAGAACAGGGTTGACTGCATGTGGTTAAAAACCTCTTGCATTTTTCCCGCACTTAGTGCACACGAGGGACCTTCCCCAAGCAGTATTATCAGCGTGTTTACTCTCAATTGACCCATCTCAAGTATGAATTTTTTTTTAACCTCCATTTCACCCCCCCCTGCTCACCCCCCCCGCCTTGAACTTCTTCTTTCAGAGCAAGAACAAGGAAGGAAATTGAAAATCCCAGAGAGCCCTGGACGGTCCAGATTTAGGGCTTTAGCTTTTGTTCGCACAAACTCGCTTGGCTCCTAACCGGCCTCCACCCATGATCCCGACATCCGCAGCAGCAGCCGCTCGTTCAAAACAGAGCCCCGAGCCCAGAGCCCGGCCCCGGCAGGGCCCGGAGCCCCGAGCCTGGAGCCCGGAGCCCGGCAGGGCCCGGAGCCCCGAGCCTGGAGCTCGGCAGGGCCCGGAGCCCCGAGCCTGGAGCCCGGCAGGGCCCGGAGCCCCGAGCCTGGAGCCCGGCAGGGCCCGGAGCCTGGAGCCTGGAGCGCGGCAGGGACCGGAGCCCTGAGCCTGGAGCCCAGAGCCCGGCCCCGGCAGGGACCGGAGCCCGGCAGGGACCGGAGCCGCCCCCGGCCCCGCTCTGCTCCCGCTTCTTCTCCCGAGCTGCCCGCCTTCCTTCCCACAGCCAGCCAGGAGTTTTCGAAGTCGGGATGAGTTTTTTCTCCCCTCCGCGAGCCTCGGATGATGTTGAGATTATGCAACGTTAACAGATGTGGGGTTTATAATTAGAGCTGCCTGTCCTCGGGAGGAGCCTCCGCGCACGGGATGCTCCCGCAGCCCTGGCAGGACAGCGGCTCCATGGGCGGCTCCAGCCCCATCCCAGCGGGAATGCTCCCCAGGGAATGCCCACCCTCCCCACGAGGGATGCTCCGGGTGAAGGGCTGCTCTCGACAGCCAGTCAGCTGCTCTTGGCTTTCCTTCTGTGCAAACTCAGATCAAATTTGTGTTCCCCTGTCAAGAAAGTATTTTTCTTGCCCTTGAGGGGAAAAAAATCCCATCTTCAGGGGAGCAGTGGGGCTGGGATGGCTCGTGGCTTGCCTTGGCTGGCTGCAATCTCCTGACAAACGCTGCCTGTGGGGATGCTGCTCTCCTGGCATCAGCAGGATACATCCCACCTCCCTCCCTGCCCTGTGTGTGATCACAGTCACTGCAGAAAACTTGCATTACTGTGCTTTTTGGTGTTGTGCTGACCCATGGTTGAGTTGTGAGCATCACCTAAGCCCTGCCTTGGTAGCAGCAACCTGTGAAACAGGGCAATGCCTGTGCTGTGTCACAGATGGAGACAGAAAATTGTTGGCCCAAAAGGGATTTTTCAGGAGTCTTACAAGGTAGATCTCCAACTGGGCTGCCAGGGGCAAGCCCAAAGCCTTGAGAAATCAGCTGGAACTTGATCTGTTTGTCCTGGCTGAGCTGTGTAACTCGGCTCACAGCAAGCCTCGGGCTTGTTATGCTTGCAAAGAAAAAGTAACTCCGAGCCTCGACCTGTCTGGTGAGCATCACTGCTAGTTTTCACTGGGAAGGAAAACACCAATCCAGTGGGTGGCAGGGTTTTGTGCTGGAAGTCAAATATTTCTCAGTGGCTGTGGTTATGTGGAGTTAAACCGTGCAAAGCTGTTGGCAGCTTAGGATGTGATGAAATTGTTAGTGACAGATTTGTACCTCAGCTAAAGGGCCACTCTGCTTTAAGCCTTTAATGCATCAGGGGAGGCCAGATGGTCCTGTGGGGAATTTTTGGGAAGAAGTTTGATCTGGTTTGTCTGCTGCAGAGGAGGGTCGTCTTTGAAGTCTTAATTTCTGCAGGCAAATCAAAGAGGATATTGTGGTTTTATCTTGCACTTCTGGTAGGCTTGATGGATGTGAGATTTCATGTCTATTTTGTTGAACAACACGGTTTTTTTGGGGTTTCCTTACTACATGCTGTGGGTTGAATTTTCCAGCGTAGCTTATGCTCTGCACCAATCTGGGGAGCTGACTCTGTGCTAGCATGAGGTTTTCCTCCCTGCAGCAGGACCTGGTATACCTTGCAGGGCAGGGTTAAAAATGCCAGATGACTCTAAAAAGCCTATGTAAATAATACCTTCTTATTCAGCCCCTCCACTGCCTGGCTGCACTCAAAGCCAGGTTTGCTGGCACCCACAATAAGGAGAAGGGTTTTGCTTCAGTTTATTCCCAGCATCTCTGCAGAGCCAAAAGAAGATAAAGAACACTCTGAGGTGGATTTGCAGGGGAAACTACCACCAGATAAGCAAAAAGCAGTGTTTTACTTTTGAACTGGTCTCATTCAATCAAGGAACATAGCTGAAGGCACTGCTTGCTGGCATTTCCAGGGTTACATTTTAAGAAGTGGCAATGAAATGCCTGCTGAAGTGTGCTGCTGTATATTTTAGCCTGCTTGTCCAGAGCCCTTGTTGACAAATGAGTTGGCAACCTGGGAAAGCAGATTTCCCTCTGTCTATCTTCATACCCTAAGGGTTTCTTTAAGCATCTGCTGCTTTGCCTCCTCTCTGTGCAGCAGAGCTGGCCACAGGCTTTCTGGTCAGCATGGGCTGCACAGCTGAAAGCTTTTAGTGAGAGGGGGATGGAGAGAAATTCAGTGCACAGCCACGTTTTTTGGGGTTGCTATAAATGGACTTGTGGGCTACGATTACAGGCTGGGTATTGGCTTGGAAATGAACACAGCAAGCATCCCCTGCCACTTCCCATCCCCTTGTCCAGCTGGTGAGGACCAGGAGCTTGTCCCTTGGGACAGGAGGTGGCTCACAGTGGGCACTGGGTGGCAGTGGCTGCTTGGCATTGCAGCCACTGTGAGGCTGCCAGTGATGGTACCCTGGGGGCTCTGCTCCACCACAGCTCTTGTCTCTTTGTCCCACAGGGGGCTTAGACTCCCAGGATGAGATACAGACTGTCCTACCTACCCCTCTGTTTCTTGGTGAGTTCCCACTGAAGGTATTGCAGGTGTACAGAGGACACTTCTGAAATTGCCACCTCTGTTGTGGCACAGCAACTCCAAGGAAGACATACAAGACAAGTAGGAGGTGTCCCATAGGTGTTTGTTTTGGACACACAGTTTTCTTACAGAAAGTGTTTGGAGGTCTAGAACAGGCTTAACCTTCAAAACCAGAGCTTTGGGGCAGAGACTGACTGCCTTTATGTGCTCCCTGTGGATGTCATGCACATGACAGAGACCGCATTTTGTTGTAAGGAAGATGGACAAAATGGGGACCTTGCCTGTTCAGATTTGGACTTGCTTTTGACTTCAAAGATTGTTGTGGGCTTTGAGGGTCCTCTGAGGCTGCAGTGCCAGCCAAGCCTTGGGACTGTAACATAGATGGTGGCTGCTGATTTTTGTGTGAACTGATATGCAGTGAAATCCTCACTAGGTGGTATCATAAGCTGAAAACCCTGATTCCCCGGACCACCACTCATGCACAATCTTCTTCTTGTTTCTCATATTCTGGTAGACATTAATGTTAGAAGTGCTAAAATATCTCATCACCTTGGGGTGCTTTGGCACCTGGGTGGGCCATGTAATCCACACCATGCACTGATCTCCCTGTCCCCAGTGCTGCATGGTGGCCGGGTGGGTTATACTGACCATCCTGGGTGCCCTGCAGTTCTCAGCCAGCTCCCTGCCAGCTCTCTGCAGGTGATGGGGTTTGAGATGGGGTGTCCAGCAAGCACTGGCCAAGTGGAGAGAGGGGAAGAGCTGTGGGGCCCTCTCCCTTCCCATCTTACATTCAGAATGGGGCACATGGGCTGTGCTGGGCTGTGAGCTCTGGAGACCTTCACACTCCTGCCATGGACCCTACACTGCAAGTATTTCCAGTTATTTGGTTAAGACTTTCTTTTTGCTCCATTCAAAATTTATTTCTCCTAACACAAAAAAATCCTGAGGGTGCTGAATTGAATTAGTCTTTTGCACAGAGGTGGATTTTGGTATTTGGTCCCTCAGACCAATCTAGTTTCCACTGGTGCAAATCCAAAAATAAATTTCATGTCTGTGTTTTGATTATGCAAAATTTTTCTCTAGTGTAAGTAAATGAGCTCAGAGCCTGGCCTTGGTGTTACTGCAGTGAGCTGAGCCTGCACATCAGTGCTGATGGGATCTAAGTTTTTTTTCTTGTCTTTCCTTTTAGTCATTGAAAGCAGCCATCAGGAGAGAAGTACAAGCACAGAGATAAGGACTGCTGGTGCTCCTGTGGAGTTGGTGACGATGCTGGCTGGGAGCAGGGAGTGGGCATCACTGCCTGCCAGGCATGGGGCAGTGCCAGCAGCAAGCAGGGTCCCAGGGCACACTGTGCCCCCTGCCAGTGACGGGGATGTCCCCCCTCCAGGAGCAGGATCCCCAGAGAACCCATCTGCTGGGACAGTGAGCCACCTGCTCACCCACAGCCATCCTCCCGGTGAGTTTTATGGATGTGGGAGTTCCTGTTAGCCATTCCCAGCCCATGGACTGAGCATAGCCAGTGGGCTAGGAAGTATTGCTGCCCCACAGCTAGAAATGCAGATTTTTGAGAGAAATTTAATCTCAGGATTGGAGAAATCCATCCTCAGGAAAGCTGGGCTTTGTTTTTTAACGTTACAACACAGATGATTCTCAGGAGCTGCCGCTGTTTTTCACCACTCAGCAGTACCCAGGGAGTCCTGCCCATCCACTGAGCTCAGGGGCTGTGCAAAGAGCTGAGACCCCTGGGTGTCCCCACAACTTCTCCCATCAGGAACTGAACCCCACTGCAAGCCCAGCCTAGGTTGTAAGAACTCAGCTTAAGGATACCTGACCAGCTGTGATGATGATTTGTGGCTGAGGTCCTTACATGGAAATCCTGCAAGTGAGCACTTACTTTTGGGCTTTTTCATAATCTTCAGACATAAGTAAACCAATGTACTCTTTTAAATATGAACTTAAATCAAGGCCTGTTTCTCAGAGCAGCAAGGCAAAGCTGTGACGATTGCCCTGTCCCCACTTCAGGTTTTTTTCTTAATATCCCCAGCTGAAATGAGATATAAGCATAGAGGTTTTCTTTAATTTTTTTTATTTCTTGTTTTTTTTCTGCTTAGGGACTAGAACGTGGAGCTGGCATGCCCAGACTGCCAGCTGTGGGCTGTTCTGGCACCAGCTCCTTACTTCCTTCTGCATTTTTAATATCTCTAAAAAAAATCTGTTTCTTTTGCCATGCTCAAATGAGGACAATATTTAAAATGCCATTATTTTTTGGCGACAGAAACCCTCTGTTCCCATCAATCCCTCCTGCAGTTAAACTGTGCTCTGTTAAACAGAGGAAACATGAGGGATGCAGCTGTGACTACTCCTGTTGCATGTGGTAGGGCTGGGTACTGCTGCAGGTGATGCTCCTGCCACCCAGCTGAGACAGGAGAACTTTTTCAGGTGAACATGACCCCTCTCCCTGTTGCTTTCCAGACCCTGGAAGCCATCACCATGCTGCAGGCAGGCCAGGGAGAGGCAAGAGGGCTCCCAGCACCCCTGCAGCTGCTGCTGAGGGGACACCACCAGGCTCAGAAGCTGTCAGCCCTGATTTGGCTGAGGGGACACAGGGAGGGCACCATGGGGTCTGGAACGTGTCAGGGTTTAACACCATGAGGACAGCGCTGCTACCTTCATCTTCAGAAGCTCATCACCCAGGTGAGCCATCCCAGTTCAGCCTAGGAACACTGGGAAGGTGTTCAGGGACCTGGGAACAAGGTGAATGCTGTTCCCCAGAGCAGCCAGCATTGGTTAGGCCTGGTTCTCCTGTATTGTACAGCTTTGTGGATCCAGCTCTCCATCCTCACTGTACACTCAGGGTGGTTTACTGGCTTGCTTTATGCACAAGGATGGAGAGAAGAATCCTAGTATTCAAAATTATGAACTACTTGGTGCAGGTTCCAGACACAAAGATCCTGTAGGCACAGTGCAGACAGGGGGCTGAGGGGCAGGGGAAGGGGGGCAGTGTGGAATGGTATGTGGACAGCTGAGCCCATCTCTGGGTTCTCATCTGCTTTCCCCTGTTGCCTTGCAGGCACTGACAGCCCCTCTCAACCCGTGAGCAGCTGGGTGGGCACAGAGCTGGGCACTGCAGCTGTTTCACCCAGCCCCTTGGGGAGCAGCCCCAGCTCTGCCCTTCCTGGCTCCCTGGCACAGCCCCAGGCCTCCTCCCAAGCTTCAAGTACCCAGACTGGTGCAGAGCACATCATGCTGCATCCCAGGGGTGTCACAGGGAACTTGACCAGTCCTTTGCTGACAGCATCACCTCCCATGGACAATGTCCTCAGAGGTGAGCTTTGCTGGCCTTTGTTTCATAGTTTTGAAAAGCCACTTTATAGTATTTGCTTTCTTGAGGCAGAGGAGATGCTCTGTTTTGCATGCACTCTGTTTTTTATTATTTGGATGGTTAGCTGAAATTCCCTGCTGAAAGCAGGAAAAAGCAATGGAAAAAAAAAAATTGATCCAACCCCCCCCAGCATTTTCCACTTGAAAAAAAGTGAAGTTCTTTGGATGTTATCACAGGGTTTTCTGCAGGGTGGATGTCTGCAGCTGTGAAATATCTTCACTGGGCCAGTGCCAGCTGCAGAGCAAGGGCAGCTCTGAGCCCTGTCTGACCTGTGCCCAAGTGGTGACGGGGTGGGGTGGGAGGTTGGGAACCCACACTTGTGGCCACGCGGGGTGGGTTTGCCCTCAGCTAGGCAGGGTGAGATGCCTGTGCTGAACAACTTGCTCAGGGCAGCAAACCTGAGATCCCTGGGCTCCATGGCTTCCCCTTGCTTGCTCTGCAGCAGCCAGTTTCTGGAGCTCCCAAAACCAGAGACTTTGCCCAGCTCCACATGAACACTGAAAACCTCAGTGTTGTTAAATCCTTTTCCTGTGCCCAGGGCTTTTCAGGAGCAAACACATCTCCCAGGTTCTCACGCTGACACAGCTGTTGGGAGCACCCCTGGGCTGCAGGAAACCTGAGATCCAGTGTCTGAAGGATAGTGCCTTGCTGAGCCCTGGGATGTGTAGTTAGCTGCAGGCTCATGTGGGAATGTGGCTGTGCTTAGGTTTCCTCCCTTTGCTGCTTGATGCTGTGCTCAAGCCACAAAAAAAAAAAAAAAAGAAAAAAAAAAAAAAAAAAAAGAAAAAAAAAGGAAGAAAAAAACTGAGCCTATTTCCAGCAATATTAGAGTAAAGGTGGGATTTAAAGGCAAACCCCCACAGTCCTTGTCCTGTGGGGTTTCCTCCTGTCCAGTCTCACAAAGCCTGGCTGCAAGCCCTGGGTTTTGTGCGAGGTCTTCCAGAGGTGAGGGGGGTCCTGCCTGTCCAAAGGAGCACTTTGTCCAGATTGAACACTTCCTATGCTTAGTATCTGTATGTGCACTGTAAGCATCTGGGAAGAAAATGGATCCATCTGCTTATAATTTCATGTGTATAAACCCATTTTTTGTATTGTACTGTAGGCGTTGGAAGCAGCCACCAGCCATCCAACAGCTCAGCCACGGAGAGGTTCGGTTCGGATTTCCCCACCACCAGCACCTCCATTTCCACAACAGCTGCCAAGGCTGGAGGGAGGACATTGAGGTCTCTGCCAGCCAGCACCAGGCTGGTCACCATGGCAGAGATTTCCACCTCTGGGACTGAAATCACCAGCTCTTCAGCCCAGAGCCAGACCCCTGGGGTGTCTGTGAGTGCCCAGGGTGATGGAGGCAGAGGTGTCACAGACCCATTGCTCTCAGGCTTGCCCTCCGTTTCAGGAAGTGCTTCCACAAGTGAGTTTTGATAGATAGCTCAAAACTCTTATTTAAAGACTCTTTATTAACAAAATATATCCTTTTTATTTTAAAGAAAGGAGGAATAATATTGTATTTGGCACATTCTGTACATTTAAAAACATTTCACAGAAATGAAAGTATGGATAAATATTATTCTTGTTGGAAGGGGAGGATAGATTTTCCTTGAAAACTTCCAGTAGAATTTTGCAAGCAATAACTTCAGCAGTTCCTATTTAGAGACCACTTTTCCCCTGTCTTAATGATTTCCCAGTATTAAATATTTCCGTATTGAATATTCACACATACATTGTCTACATCTACTGACAGTGGGATGGAACCTACCCAGCAGTTTTTATTTATGTTTATGCAGTTTTTCCTTTCTCTTCTCCTTTCTCAGCTTCTAGCAGCAATTATGAACCCCCCAGGAGCATCCCTGGTGCAGAAGAGGCGACAGAGCGCTTGGACATCCAGGCTGCTGACGTGTCCAGCACGGCAGTGGGGACACTGATGTCCCCAGAAAATGGCCACACAGCTGGGGTGACAAGGAACTCTGCCACCAGCACCAACCCCACAAGCTCTTTGGGTGGGACCTCCTCTTCCTTGAGGACTGGGACACATCATCCCAACAGCTCACGGGAAGCCACCGATCTCCCAGGCCCTCCTGGGGGTCCTCTGCTCACAAACTCCCTCTCTGCCTCTGAAGGTCCTTTCCCAGGTAAATTTGTTAGTCTGAAAGCTGTCTGCCTTGGGATGGATGAGTTTTCACATCCCTGCACTGTTTTTCTTCAGATATGGTCATCAGTCATTATTGGACACGTGGATGTTTTTGTTACTGGCTGCACTGAGCTGGCAGTGAGGTGGGTGGGAAGGGGGAGAGTGGAGCTCAGCTTTTGGGTGAAAAAAAAGAAAAAAAGAAAAAGAAAACATTGAAAAAGAAAACATTGATGGCCTCGTTACTAATGAAACTCCTGTCCTGGGAAGAGCATTGCTAAGAAATACATGCACACACTTTCCCTGCCAGAGACACTTGCTGGGGTTTTGCAGCTGTCACCTGGTGCTGTATCTACCATGCAGGCTGGTCTGTAGAATGTGGGTTTGAGATTTTTCATGGGTTTCTGTAAGGCACATGCCTGTACTGAGGAGATTAATCTCTTCCCAGAGAAACCCCTTCAGTTTCTCAAAGGGCAGTGTCAAAATGGGTGCTGAGCACACAGTTGTGTGTATAGCTCTGTATGCACAAATCAAACCTGGTTTATTGTACCCTAGGTGTCAGAAGCAGCCACCAACCAGTGGCAGAGAAAACCTCCCTCACTTCCTCTGCCACCAGCACTCCCATTCCAGCCACATCCAGCAGTGAGGGGAGGCCACCCAGGTCTGCCTCGGGCAGCAGCCCCTGGGCAGCAGCCAAGGGCTCCACGTCCAGCAGTGCCATGTACAGGACCTTGGGAACAACTCAATCCTTGTCCACATCTGCTGGGAGAGAGGCCTCCAGAGCTCAGGGCTCCACAGGAATGACAGATTTCACTGAGGTGGCAGACTCTCCCCTAACACGCTCTGGCTCTCCTTTGGAAGGTCCTTCCCCAGGTGAGCTCACATTAGAATTGAAATTTCATTTTTCTTACAAGCCAAAGGAGGACTTCCTGCAGCTTGCACTTGCCTGACTCTTTCCTGCTATGTAGAATATACTGTTTGGAAGGATGCAGTGTGACTTTTTGTCTGAAATTATTCAGTTCTTTCTTGACCAAAAAAATGTGCTTTAGATTTTTTACAGAAAGGGTACATGTGTGGAAAGTTTCATTATGCCAAGAAAAATAATTAACTTTCAAATCACAGTCCTTTTTTTACTGTCTCCAGTTGCTATCTCTATGTTACAGACAAGAGAACTAAGCAAATGAGGATTAGATCATGTCCCTGTGGTCCCAGGGATCAGACTTCAGTTCCTACCTTCTGTCCTACTAGTTGGATCATACTGCTTCCCAGAATTTGAACCAGCTCAACAAATTTAAGGCAACTTTGAATGTGGTCCCTGAGGTCCTTCATGCTGCTGTTTGGTCATACCCTCCACTGTGGTTCTGAAGGGGTCTGATCCCCCTGATCCTGCTTCTTCAGACTTCTCTAAGACCTTCACACTGCTCAGGGTAGTGCCTTGTCTGAACTGATTTCCAGGCTTTTCTGGGTCATCACGATATTTGTTTTAGCAGCATGGAGTGCACTCAGGCACATAATGGTGAAATCAAGTGCACAGCATTAGTATTTCAACAGTTTTTATATAATAGCAATTTTGTCAGCATCACACTGTTTTTTAGAAGACAAATTTTTGTAGGGAGGATTTACATCTTTGGAAATTGACATCTTCTCATATTTTCTACTTGTGTTTGTGTACTGTACTTGGTGCCTTTGGGTGCTATTGGAAGAAAGCTCATTTTTATTTATAGTTCCATACGTGTAAAAATGTAAATTGTTTCTTTATCACATTTTAGCTACTGGAAGCAGCCATGTGTCATTCAGCATCCTGTCAACAGAGAGAAGAACCAATTTTCCCACCACCATCACCTCTGTTTACACAACGGGCACCAAGGGAGGAGGGAGGACGTTAAGGTCTCTGCCAGCCAGCACCACCCTGGCCCAAACAACAGAGGTTTCCACCACTGGTACTGAAAACATCAGCTCTCCAGGCCATCCCCAGTCTTCTTTGGGAACCCAGGGTGGTGGTGGCAGCAGAGGTACCACCGTGTCATCTGTGAACCTATTGCTCACAGGCTCACCTTCAGAAAGCACTTCCCCAGGTGAGCTCTGACCACACATCAGACACCCACCTGCATGGAGAGGGAGGGCATGCTAGATTGTGCTGGATGATGGCATTGGATTTATGGATGAAAATTTCAACTTCCAGAGAAAAATGCGTTATCTGTTTCTTACATTTAGGCACCAGGAAAAGCCAGCCTTACTGCCAGAGCAGTCTCAAGGTTTGCTGTGTTTTCAGGGACAGCACAATTTCAAGACTGCCCCACTGGCTGTGTTTATACCAGCAGAAGCAGCAGCAGTCATTCCTGACTCCACCCTGGGGTGCAAAGGCAGTATTTACTGATCCCATACAAACCTGCCATGCTTTCCTTCAAGTACCAGGGCTTTGGGTGCTGTGTGACCTCCCCCTCACTCACTGTGGGTGCAGAGGTGACAGTGTGTGTGTCTGGTACCCAGGTCAGGCCTGTGGCACCAGGAGCAGCACTGGAGGGAAGCAAACCCAAAAGTGCTGCCATAACTTGTTCCTAGTGCCCTAGTGTCCTGCTGTCAGCAGCACCTCCTAGCACAGGAAAGAGCTGTGCCTTCACAGTTAGCATTTTCTGCAGGCTTGGATTTTCTGCCACGTTCTCTCTGTGCCCTCAGCCTGAGGCTGGTGATGGAAGAGAGAACACCTGCTTATTTATAGTTTAGGGTGCATAAATAATTTTGCTTTGCTCTCTTTCAGCAGACAAGACCTCAGCAACGGGAGGACACCTGCCTCTCACCAGCTCACCCAGTGTGGTGGGAGCTGCCACCAGGGAGGAGAGCAGCACAGTGCCTGTGTTGGACACCCATGGAGCTTCCAGTGCCACAGGGAGCTCTGCTCCCTCTCCCCCCAACACCAGCACCCTGGACACAATCCTGCTGTCCTCACCTGCAGCACAGCCTGGGAAGCAGAGTCACATTTCACAGAGCGGGGCAGGACTCAGTGAGCTCCCAACAAAGCTGCTGCCTGCGTTTTCTCCCAGCGTTTCAGTGCCTTCACCTTCAGCCACACTCTTCATCCACAAGGAAGGGACACCTCAAGCCCCAGGTAGCCGCAGCACGTTGAGCACAAAAGCAGAAAGCCTCACATCTCAGCTGGACACAGCTGGGGACACCCACACCGGCCCTGGCCCGTCCTCCACGGCATGGCCTCCAGTGAGACATGTGTCATCTGGCCAAGCAGGGTCCCCAGAGCCCAAGGTCACCCTCTCATCCAAGGCCTTCACTGACTTCTCAACTGCTGCTGAACCTTCCAGTGAGTTTTTCTGAACTCTGGGGTAGTGTTTGACTGCCTCTCCCTTCCTTTCTCTTCTCTGTGGGATTGGTATGACACAGCTGTTGCAGGTGTCATGGGCAGCATTTATAAGTGGTCATGGTGCTGCCCCGTGGTGTTGTATATCTCTTGAGACATGTAGCTTGTTTCTGTAGGACACATCGACTGCCTGTCTGGGTTGGGGTGATAATTACAAATAACATAAACGTACCGTTATGACTCTAATTATACTGATCCCTCAGTATTTGGACATTCCTGTCTGCTCTGAGATGATAAAATCAGACTCCTGCTGTTCAATCCTTTTCCAGCTATTGGCAGCAGCAGCCATCACTCCCTAAGCAGCTCAGGTGCTGAGGAGAAGCTGTCCAGCCCCATCACCGATCCTGTGTACAGTTCATCCACGTCTGCGGGTGCTGAGGAGAGGATGCTGCTCTCAGTGACAGGTGGCACTCTGGCCAGTGGCATGGAGAGCTCTTCTTCCCATGCTGGAGTTTCCATCTCTCCAGGGCCATCTGAGCCAGCATTGGTGGAGCAGAGCAGGACACCCAACGCCTCCACCAGCAGCGGGAGTTTCACGGGCTTTGCGACGGAGACGGTGTTTGTACATTCTGCCAAGATACCCACTTACTCTTCTTTCCAGAATGATCTCACAAGTAAGTTGATGTTCTTTGGTGTACATTTGGGGGGAATTCACATTGTCTGGTGTTTAGTATGTAGTACATAAGGTTTTTGTTCATTACTACGTTCAATACCACCTGTGGGTTCACTCAGGGGGATGTTTCCATCAAAGGACTCAAAACCAGACCCCACACAGATGGGAAACTATTCCAGAAGTGGAGCCATAAACCCTCCTGTTTTGATGGCTGCCTTTTTCTTTTGCACCGTAACTGGTTTCTTTTGGATGATGCTTTCAGAACTGTTTCACAATGACCTAACTAATTTGTAGAATTAAAACAAATTTTCAATACAATTTTTTTTTAAGTTGGCTGAACTTAGCTGAACATCCTGAAATTGGTGCTATAAGATTGATTGCACCTTTTGTGCTAAATAATCTGAACTTTTTGCATGCTGATGTGCATTTAGGTTTTCCTGGCTGCAAAGTTTTGAATCACTGGGTTCATGATAAGCTGCAAATTAACATAATGTAATAATTTCATCCTGCAGAGGCATTGGAGTTCACAGTGTCTAAAAACAAATTGACTGAACAAGATGGATATTTTATAGATGGGAATGGAGGATAAGACGGAGAGGATATGAGTTTTGTAAATTATGAGTGATAAAGAGAACAGTTGGGTTTTCCTGCTTAGCTTGCCACAAATACCATGGAATGTTAAGATCTGGATCACTTTAGGAAAGCAATACATGAAGAACAGTGATTTGGAAACCTACATTCATGGGAGTCCTGTGTCTGTCAGGGTTCATCATTTTACAATCAATTAAGGAGTGCATAAGGCTCCCAATTGTATAACCATGCTTGAATGGTGCTTGAAATTCTTACAAAATCATGGACAGGTTCACAGACAAGAAAACCTTATTTAGCAAGCAGCTTTAATGTGACATCAAAATGCTTTCATATTACCCTGTCTTCCTAATATTTTTTTGTCCTTTTACTCCAGACTTTTCAGGTAGCCATCAGCCAGTCAGTGGCAGTGATGCTGAGAAAAGGACCTCGGTTTCTCACACAGATGGCACATACATTTCAACCACATACACCAGAGGAGGAGAAAGGACCCTCCTGTCTATCTCCAACAGCAGCATCTCTGCTGACTCCTCAGAGAGTTCCACCTTTTTTTCTGAAATTTCCAGCCCTTTTGACACCTCACAGTCATCCGTGGCTCATGACAGGCAGACCAATGCATCAAACAGTAGCAGTTTTGTTGAACCATCTACGGAGCCGTTGCTGGTGCACCCTTCCAAACCATCGACATCTGCTTCTACAGGCAGCATAGAAAATACAACTCTATTCAACACTGCCTCTGAGCTGTTGACCACTGACAGATCCTCTCTGCCTTCATCAGCATTTCCAGCCTCTTCCTCACTGTCATCACTGCAGCACTTGCTGTCATCAACACCACCACCAACTCATCTGTTTACACTGTCAGAATCACCTGAGCCACGCTTGCCCTCTGTGATGGCATCTTCACCCCCTCTGCAGGCTTTGCCATCCTCCTTGCCCACTTCCTCCTTGTCCTCCCCATCTTACTCATTAGCATCTTTACTGTCTGTGTTTTCATCCCCCTCATCCATCTCGCAGTCCAGTGAGAGTGATCAAGCAAGCACCACTGTGGCTATGGTCAGGCAGGTGCCCTCCACAGCTGCCACAGCCAGGAGCTCACCCAGAGAGACCAACAAGCCCAGTGTCACACACCAGCCCCAAAAGAGCACCACCTTCACTCCCACCAGGTCACCTCTCCCTACAGAACCCATGGAGCTGCTTGGTGGACGTGTCGTGTCCGTGTCCGCTCCCATGACAGTAACGGAGACTGCCTTGCCCAGAGATGCCACCACCCAAGGGGACAGCTTTGGGAAGGCAACACCCCTGCTCACCACAGCCAGTGTTGCTCCACAGGCTGGTCCCACAGATGCACCACTTAGTCCCTCAGCAAGTGCAACAAATCAGGGCAGCATTGTCCCCACAGAGGCAGTGACCACGGTGAAACCTCCTGTGCTGACAACGCCGTCCGGTCACCGGCCCAGCCCAGGTGAGGCCAGCACCATGCAGGACCACAGAGTCCAGACACCCACTGCCACTAAGCACAGTTATACCACTGCTAAAAGCACAGAAGCCATGGGACCCACCACTGCAAAGCCTGGTAAAGCCACTGAGGAAAACATCCCTGTTACAAGTCCTTCTGCAGCACCTCCAACCATCAAGACCACTGGGAGCATTGCAACGACTTTGGCTGCTACCAAACCAACCACTGCTCCTCTGCCAAGCAGCACAGTCAGGCTGAGGACATCACCTCCAGCTACAGGTAATGTGTGCAATGGCTCTCACCAGTGGAGGGGCCAGGAACAAGCAGGCAGGAATGCTGGGGTCCCACTTCAGGGATTTTCAAAGAGTTGTGTGTGCATGCATGTATGACAAGTCTGTTGTCAGCAGGGTTTGAGGGCAGTAACTCATCTCTGTGTTGTTTTTTTTTAAGCTAAGTGTTTAGCAATCAAGTTGAATGGGTGAAATAAGGGGGAGCACTTTGGCGAACATTTCTGATGGAAAGATTAAGCTGAGATTTGATAAAGATAAAGCTGAGTTTTGATAAAATAAAGCTGATTGGCCTTACAGGTAAGCTCAGGATGCGCTATATTTCTTGATGGGTTAACAATAACAATAGATAATGATTGATATCTGTCTTATTATTGAGAAAGGACAGTTGGCCAGCACTTGGTATTTTTGTTGAAACTGCTTCTCATATTACAACCTATGGTTGTTTTCTCCCCACCTCACTAAATATTAATCTTCTTAGGGGCCTGATGCTTCTCCTGCTAGTCTTGCTGAGAATGTTGTTATAGAAATTTATTACCACTGCCAGTCTCCTTATCTTCTCAAGTAAATATATTTGCTGAAGTCTTATATAAAAGGAAATTGACTTTGTGTTTGAAGTTCACAGCCCGGCCATCATGCCACTGTAGGATATTGTGTGTGCTAAAGGCATTAATCTCAGTGAAATACTGGCAATAAAATATATTCCATCCAATAATTAAGTATTTAAAGGTTACTTCTCAGGCTGATTGGTTTTAATTATAGCTATAGCTTCATGCAAAAAAAAAATACTTTACTGGAATGATTTTTTAATTGAAAAATTAAGATAATGCATCCTTTTTAGAAACTGATTCACGCTTTTGCCAAATTATTCTCTCATTTGAAAACCAAGATTTGCCATTCACCAGAATGCAAAAGATCCTTCTCCTGTCTTGGGCATGGTGCCTTGTACATGGTCACTCACTGCCCTGAGAGTGGCTGCCCTGGTCTCTGCTGTACAAGCACAGACTGAAGGATGCCAAAGTGAAAGCCATGGTTTTAAATCGCACCCACTCATTTCTGCCTGCTTAGATTAGAGTCACCAAATGTTCTTCTCACTGATGCTGAGGTAGCGGTGCCAGGCTGGTCAGGCATGAGATTGCATTGAATGGTGTGTCCCAGGGCAGAGTTTGGCTGGGAGCTGTCAGGTCTGTGTGGTGCTGTGGGTTACTGCAGTGCCACCAGAAATACACACATGGGTTTGGTTCACGTGCTTCATGCTTTAACCACAGAGCCTGTGCTTCCTGCCTCAGCTGCAGCACTCAGCAGCAGCCACAAGATAGGTATGAGTGGGGTGTAAGATGTCTTGCTGGTCTTGTAGAGCCTTGTCACTGACAAGTCCCCAGCCCTGCCTATGGCCTGCCCTTGTGGGTGTGTGTAATGTGTGTTTGTGCTCATCTGAGTCATAGATGCAGCAAGAGGAGCTTTTTTGACCAGGACATATTTTTTCCTTTTATTTTTCCAAGAGGAAATATTGGATATATTCTTCAGAATTTGCAGTTTGAGTTGTGTAATCTATGAAGCATCTGAGATTACAGTCTTTAATCCCCTTAAACACTGTTTTATCACTGTGGTTTCTGCTCCCCAAGCTCTTGCCCATGCAGCAGCAAGGGCACTGGGAGTGGTGGCACAGGCAGGAATCACTGCTGTGACCATCCCCAGGCTGGCACGGAGGAGCTCTGGAGAAGGAGGTGATTGCAGCCAGGGCTGCCTCCACCATTACTGGGTAACCTACAGACTGGATCAGTGCTCAAGCACTGCCCTTGGAGCAGAGAAACAGGGCTTGGATGAAAAGGGCAGGACTTTGGTGAAGCAGCCCATGCCCATGTGTCTAACTTGGGCTGTTGAGGTTTCTTCTTTGGTCTTCTTGTTGGGTTGTTTGTCTTTGGAAAGAACCTTGAGATCTTCTGATGAGCGGTGCTACAGATCAGTTGGATGTTCATATTAACATGGATCCGTGCTAGACCTCAAGGGCTTTTGAATGAATATTCAAGTGGTTTATATTTATTCTTTCAGCTCCAACAGAGTAATTAGGAACAGCATAAATAGTAAGTGCAAATGATGCAGCGAGGCATCTGATAATGCTCAAGGAGTCACAGATGGGGAGTTCATCTCTTTTATAACAGTTGATGATTTTTATGATTCTGTAGGTATAATCTGTTTTGTTGTTTTGTTGGGTTTTTTACTTTTATAGAGGTGGATAAATGTCTTTCCAACCCTTGTCCTGCGCTGGCCACCTGCAACAACACCCATGGCTCCTATATCTGTCAGTGTCCTCTTGGATATGAGCTGGAAAAAGGAAAGTGCAATTTAGGTAAGAAAATAAAAGTGAAAAACCAGGGATGGAAATAATTATCTTTAATCTTCTAAAATAAATTGACTTAGGCTCAAACTAGTTCAGGAGCTTAATGTTCCTCCCAACCACCTCTTTTATCAGAGCCTTTTAGTGTTTATACAAGTGTGGTGTCTCATGCCTGTTGTGTTGGGCTGCCTGGGGAGCAGGCAGAGATATCTGAGTTCTTCTTAAAAAACTCAGCAATGGAGCAGTGGGCTCAGGCTCGTTAGTAAGGACAGATGTGCCCCTTCTGTTCCTGATGTGTTTTAAAACTCCCAAAAAGCATTCAGCAGCTTATCAGCCCTGCAAACTCTGGTGAAGGCACTTGGCTTGGGAGAGGTGAGAGGGGCTGTTGTGTAACCTGGCTTCAGTGGGATCAGCCATGTGTGGAAAGTTAAGCAGCCGTGGTGAAAGTCTTTGTAGGATCAAGGTCTAGTTTCATACCTTTAGCATTTTTTGAGCAGCACAGTTATTAGCTGGAACTCAGGTTCTGACCTCTTCCTTTCTATTAGAGGACTCTCAGTCTCAAGGACTTACAATATTCCATTGTAAAGGGGAAATTGTTTTCATAGATTTTCTTTTGACCCTTAATCAACAAGGATTAGAGGCATGGAAATTTTGCTAAGGAAGCATGGGTGAGGTGTCCCTGAAGAGTGTTTTGGAACATTTCTTCAAGTTGGAATATGTCAGCTTCTAATTTAGAGACTTGTTTTGATTATGCCTTGAACTGGAGTATGGACAGATTATATAAACACCGTGAAGGTGATTCTCATCATAATTTTTGTCTGGAGTTGTTACATTAGAAATGTCTGATATACATTTTGGTGAAGATAGGTTCAGTGGATGGGAAAAAAATGGGAAAGAATTGAGGGCTTTATAATGTTATCTGCAACTGTATTTGTTTTTCTGGTGGAACATAAAGCTGGAATTCTGAGTTCTCAGTTCCACTGAGTATCTCATGACACTTAATACAAGATTTAGGGGTATTATCTCTGCAAGTCTGGGCAACTCAGATTATTGCATTCTGCTGCTGTGAATCAAATATGAATCTAAGCACAGAAAAATGCGTTTTTTGGACTTCTTTTCAAATGTCATTGCTCATTCTCTCCAGCAGTTTGAAAAATGAAAATATCCTTTCTACAGTGCTTTATTTTGACTTGCTGATTTGATTTCCTTCCATTGCAGGGAAAAGTAAGAGATTTGACATAATTTGACCCCCAACTATCATAAATAGTTTTGGTACCTGACATTATCTTCCTACTCAATTTACCCATCTCTCTCTGTGTTCAGGGATCTATTTAAGTTAGTCTGTGCTTCTGCATGAAATGTATGAACACTGAAGTGAAATGCTGTCTGTTCAGCAGCACTGAGCTCTGGAATTTGACTGGGACTGTGGGAACATTGCAGCAACTCTTGGGAAAAAAACCCAAGGCTGTGACTTTGCTTTATTGGGGCAGTGACTCTCAGATATGAGTTTTCTGCATGCCTTGTAAAGGGATTTTCCATGCAAACAGCCTCTCATGTAAGGCAGATGAAACCACATCTACCCATGGCACAGAGATGTGTTCCAACTAACTTGTCTTATTTTACTTTTTAGTGAGAATATTTATTGGCCAGGTTCCCCTGAAACTTAATATCACCCACGGGAAGTACACAGAGCTCTTCCACGTCGAGAGGGAGATCCTGGAGGTGGTGAGTGTTGGACTGGGACTTTGGCAATGCTGGTGGCACAAGTCCCCTTCATTCCTCTTATGATTGTCACATTTCCCAGCCATTCAGTTTTAGCCATGTGGCTCTTGGTCAGTTGAGAGCCAGTGCTGGTCAGGCTCTTGACTTCCCCAAAGGCTGTGCCATCAATAGCTCCAAAAGAACCCATGGGCTGGGATCGTCTGCACATCCCTGTGCAGTTCTTATCCAGATCATTGCATGCACAAGTTCATCCTGTTAGTGGTTGCTGGGATGGGTGCACTTCATTCCAGCTCTTTGGAGATGGATTTGGAGATGCTGCCAAAGGAAGGAGGTGCTGGGTGGAGTCACTGTGATGCTGCCTGCACAGCTTGTGCTGGGGAGTAAATACAAACCACTGCACAGATCCAGGGTCAGGGAAGATCTGCAGGCTCCAAGGGTGCTGCTTTGAGGTTGGCCTTGCATGGGGGTCTCTCCCTGCTGACATCTGGCTCAACTCTGACCTTTGGGGTCATTACAGCAGGGCCACAGGCAGATGCTCATGTCAAAATCCCTGGGGCTTTGTTCTTGTCCAAGGCTGTGCAATGGTGACTTTGTCCACCCCTTACTGACAACAGGGCAGTGCATCTCTCCTATAGAGCATATGAACCTCTGGCATGCTCAGAGCCCCCTTGGTCTCAGCAGGTGTCTCTGGGAGACACAGGGCATGGTGTCAGTGACCCAGGAGGACTGTTCATGGGGCTGCCTCCTTCCATCATGTCCTGAGCACTAACAGCTGCTCTCTCCCTCCTTGCAGCTCAATGCATCGCTGTCAGGCTTGCCAGGATACCACCACTCCACAGTTAAGGCAAGCAGGTAAGGCTAAGGCTGCCAGGGGAAGAATGAGAAACTTGAGCATTTGGGATCTTCAGCTTGAGAGCCACACTCTCCATTTTGAGTCAGTGCTTGATGCAATCCAGTGGTACAGGGCATGAGGAATGCCTGACCAGCCTGCCAGGCTCACCTGGTACTCTCCTCCTGTCCTGAGCAGCTTGGGGATGGCCTGCCCAGGAGGGACTTAAGACTGGTTCCAAAGTGAGCTACCAGCATCCCTTCCAGCTCCACATTCTCCTCTCTGGGTATTGGTTAGTCCTGGTTTTAAGGTCTGTCACAGTGCATGTAGTACTGTGTCTGTGGTAAGCATCTCCTGTATTAACAGCAGTCCTATGTATGAGGTGCTAATGATGATATCAAACTGACCTGTGATACTCAGGGCTGTTTTGTTTTTTGTTTTTTTTTTTTTTGTTAGGGAGGCAAATTTTGTGCACGTTTCAGTGCAATCCACGTTCTCTTTAGCATCCAACGTGACTTTCTTCGATGTTATCAGCAGTGTGAAAAGCTACATTCGAGCTTGCAAATCCCCCACTGAAGCCTGCCAGTTCATATCAAGCCTGAAATCACTCCACAGAGGTAAATAGCATCTGGAAGGACTGTGGCAGGAGGGGAAAGGGATGTTTTATTTGGCTCCTTTCATAAAAGGGAGACAACATTTTGTCATTTGGAAAAATCCCTCTGTATCTTTTTATCTTGCTTAAATGGGAGTCATCTTAAGAAGCTCCTAGTACAAAAGGGATGCAGATACCAAGCCTTATCTTTGCCACATGTGTGAGAAATCTGCCTCTCTGTGAAAATATTGTGCAGCACAGGATTAGAGACATTGTAGGGTAGCCTTTCATCTCTGGGATGTGACACTGGGCCCAGCCAGATCAAAAACTGTAACTCCTAATTTCACACGTGCGGCTGGGAGCCAGGGAAATGGTGTGAAAGCCAAGAGACAAAACCCCACTGGTGAGCTCAATTAGAGCTGCTGGAGGCTGCACAGCGAGCTCTCCTCTCCTGCCTGCCCAGTTTCAGTGCTGCAGGTTGTAAAATGGTTCACAGTCAATGAGAATTGTGATTTCTGTACTGGATCCTCCGTCTGCCCAAGGGCAGTGTGGATACAGCACAGAAAGATGTGGGGGAGGTCACCAGTGACCTTCTCCAGGTGGACCCCGGTGCTGTGCCCTGGCATCTCTCACCTCCTGAGGGAGTGATGGAGGAGATTTATCTGTGAGAGATTCCTGCAAGGAAACGGCTGCACATGCTGTTTTGTGACTTTTGGGTTCAAAGCTTTAAGGTTTGGCCTTGAGGAGGATGAAGGGTGGCAACACTTAGCCTGGCTTTAGTGGGAAACCCCCAGTATCATTTTGGCAAAGTAAACATGCAGATGAGTAGTTCAGTGTGTACTTTTATTGCAATGGGCTGTATTTTAAAGCCATTCTCTGCCCATGATTTGCTTTAAATTATTTGGGTAAACCTGCTTGGATTATACCTACCCATCACCTCTGATACCTTCTGTAAAGTCAACTTCTAACTTGAAATAAGCAGAGAAAGAAACAAATTATATTCTTGTGTAAGTACCTAAAAGAAAACATGTCAGATTAAAAAAAAAAATTGATCTAGCAAGGAAAGGTTTATAAAAGGAGAGTGCCAAATGAGTGACATATTTTCCATAAAATCCTATTTCTCACAAATATTTATTAATTCCATTTAGTCTGACCTCCCAGTAAAAATGTAAATTTGATGTCACAATTTCCATCATTTATCCACAGTTTTGCTGAATGCTCATTGTAACAAGTCTGACTTTCTAAATCAAAACACTACTTCCAAGTAATGTAAATGAAAGTACAATTTTTTTGTTTGAAAAATGGAAAAAGACAGTGCTTAATACTGAAATGGAAAAGAATTGGTTTGGTGTAATGTTTTGCTTGATATAAACTTAAAAATTGATTTGTTGAACTGTGTCAGGGGATGAATGTGTTTGAGCTTGAGCCAAACCAGATTTCTCTTTTTCATTTCCCCTTCTGCTTCCAAACTGAAACATTTATTATTCACCCCCTCTATTTGCCTGTACAAATGATGGTAGATACACAAGAAATGGTCACATGGGGTAATGTTGACTCCCTCCTAATGGAACAAATAGTACTAAAAAAAAAAAAAAAAAAAAGAGATTAAAGCAGCCCATCAGCTGAATGGCTGAATGGGATGCCTAGGAAAAACAAATGTGCATAATGGTGGGTTCAGAGAGAACCATGCTGATGTTGGCCACCTCTTCCCAACAGCTGGCAGCTTGTGCAGACAGAAGGACCCTGAATGTGACAACGAAACTTCAGAATGCACCGACTTTGATGGGGTCGCTCTCTGCCAGTGCAAAAGTGGGTACTTCAAATACAACAAGATGGACCACTCCTGCAGAGGTATTGCTCTTTATGTGGTGTACTTTGCCTGAATTTTCCTCCAAGTTTTTGTTCCAGTGGAAACGAGTGTGTGCTCGTAGTGCTGTTCATGCAAAACCCTCAATATTATGAATAAATATTAGCAGCTCAAGTTTCTTTTATTTAGTTAGGGGGTTTTTTAGCAGACACTGAAGACACAGTGTCTCTCTAGGAATAATATTATCTCTTTCTGGAGCATGCTGTGAGTCTCAGTGATTGAGGAGAGGGAGAGAGGGGCCTGGCTGCTTTGGGCTCCAGTTCAGTGGCACAGAGCAGAGATGACGTGTGTCTCTGCCTGTTTTGATTTTGTCTGAACTCTCGGTGAACTTAGGGGAAGTGCTTTAAACTCAAAAGCTTATATTAATATATCATCAGTATTTTAAAAATTTGTATCTGAAAATTATTATGAATTTATTTTTCAGGTGAGTTCCAAATTGAAATTTTAAGCTTAAAGATTGTGTTATTTTTTAGCTACTCCTCAGATCAACAAATCTGGTTTTGCTGCATTTTAAACAAAGTCTTTACATGCCAGTGTTCAAAATGACTTCTGGAGGGTTGGGGTGTCCATTCCCTAGTTTGTGGTTGCTGTAAGGCTTTTCTGATGACATATCAATAACAACTGCAGTAGTGGTAATATATTGCTTCTGGCACTGCCTGCTGGGTTGCTCTTGAAATAGGCGGAGATGTTTTGTCGGTTCCAAATCTGAGAGTGAGAAAAATGTGCCTGGAAATAACTCATGTGCTACAGACTCTGGGAGGGACAGCTCAGAGATGGGCATCTCTGCTTGCCAGGTTGTGGCCCTGCCTCTCCTGCACTCTGTGGCTCCTTTGTGACAAAACCTTTCCCTTTGTGTTTTCCTTCATTCCCCTCATCTTGTATGTTGGAGGAAGGATTTCTTTTGGGAAATACTGAGCATCTCCACCAACCCTAGAGAGTCAGAGAGGGGTTTATGTAGTGAGTGAGGAGCTGAGCTGAAACTTGAGAGGTTTTTACCCAATTCTTGTTCCATCATGGACAGTGGGAACCCAGGGAAAGTTACTCCACTTGTCTTGTCCGTGTCTCTTGCCAAGCAGTGAAGATAAATACCTGAAAGGCTGTGAGGCACTTGGGTGTGATGGTTGCAGAGGGCTAAGAGATCTAAGACCTCGTATGTATGATTACTCCATACTTATGAAACTTGTTTGCTGTGGAAAATATGAAAACCTTATCTGTACACAGTGAGGCCTAAATGCCACCTTCATCTCACTGCTGTCAGTAGGAAACATCTTATTGATCAGCTTGGCAGTGTCTGAGGGACAGGGCTGATGCTGGATTTAGGCTGCAGTGCAGAGGCATGAGGGCAGCACTGACTGCATGGTGCCACTCTCTGACAAGATGCCAGATTTTCATTATCACTTGGGCCCATCTGGGCAAGCCAGGTAGTTGGGGTTTTTAAAGGCTTTTCCAAAAGCCAAGCTATGGGCCCCATTTTGATATTTAGGGCTATTTTGCTGATAAATATAGCATACAATATACCAGCCTCTTTGAAAACCTCTGCCCTTTTAGTGCCTAAACAGGAACCAAGGTCTCGTGAGCATCTGACCCTCATTGTGGGCTGTGAAAATGTGGTCTAGTAGCTCCAATTATAGGATTTGCAAAGGGGGAAATGGCTATTGTGCTGCCCTGTCCGGTCTCCCCCGTGGGAAGGCTGGGAGAATTGGCTGCCCTGACCCACAGGATTTGTTCTGTCCTCCTTGTAGCATCTGTCCCCAGGGACACGCTTGGGAAAGCATGCCATGGGCCAGGGAAGGGTTGGGTCTCTGAGACACAGGAGGTCCAACATGTTGGCCAGGGGACCTCTTGCTGTGCTGTTCAGTGTCTCTGGGTTGCTGCTAATTTTCAGCCTTCTCAGTATCTTCAGGGCTATTTCAGTACCAGAGCAGCAAACCCAATGTGCCAGCCTTTCAAGGGCATGCTATTTTTACCAGTACAGAGTGTTTCTGGAGTGAAGCAAGGAGCAGCAAAGCAGCTTTCCAAAGAGACCCCTGAGTGTCTTTTGGGAAGGCAGAGGAATCCTAGGTTGAAGAGCTCAACTCAACAGCTTTGCTTGGCCCCTGACACTTAGGCCTTTCCCCTGTTCCCTGCTTGTGTTTGGAGTCTTGCCAAGTGAGTGTGACAGTGAGAGCTCTCCTGGGAACGTGTTCAAAGGAGCAGCAAAGATGCCAAAGGAGAAAGCAAAGTGGCAGGAAAAGACACAGGGAGGAGAGGAAAATACATAAGCACTGAGTTTTTAAGTAAGACAGAGAAATACATATTCAGGATCTTGCTTTTCCTCTTTTCTGCTCCTATATCCCCCTGACCTGAGAGCTGTGTGCCAGCGAGGTGCCAGGGCTGCTCCTGCCCATGGCACTGCTCCAGGTGGATGTGCCTCACACACATTGCTGAGCTTAGGGTGGGCTCCAGCACCTTCTGCCTGCTCCTGCAGCCTTCCCAACATGCAGGGGGTGGGCTGGAGCTGGGATACACTGAGCTGCTCATTAGAGAAGGAAACTCCAGTGAGCTGTGAGGTGATGCTTCCCTCCCTCCCTTCCACTGCACATTTTGTTACTGCCCAATCCAGTGGTGGAGCATTCACTCCATAATGTTTTCAGCCTGCTTTTGTTAGCAAGTGGAAGGAGCAACCCATCCAGTCTCCTTTAGCTAAGGCCCCAGTGAGATGAATGAGCCAGGCAAGGATTCTTTGGGATTTACTATCCTTGCCCTGGCTGTTTGCTGACTGGGGCTCTTAACTCTTTCACAGTTACCTCTGCTCTCTTCCTTTACTTAAAAGAAATCATCTTAGAGGGAGAAAAATATATCTAGTACAAAAAGCATCACAGTGTGATGCAGCAGGAGGGCTGTGTAATGAGTTTCACCTTCCCCATCCCCAGCTCTGGAAAAATAAATGGAATGAGGGAGGTGGTGAAGGAGCAGTGGGGGCCACATAGATCAAAGAAAGGTGTGCAAGACCAGGTATTGTGGGCATCAGCCCCCCACCATCACTGGTGCCACTTGCTACAGCAAGTCTGTGTCTATAGCCACAGAAGTGATGTGAGTGCAGCAGTGGTCCATATCCACACATCCTGAGGATTTAGGGAAATTTTGTTATCCCTGGGCTTGCAACATCTATTTCTGGGAATTAGAAATCAAAAGGGTCAAAGAGAACCCGTGAGTGTTCAGAGAAAAGCTGCAATAATTAGGGAGACTCAAAGATCTCAGTGGCCTTCGCTTTATTAAAGATAAAGGAGTGATTTGGTGGTGAGGAGGAGAAATCTGATCATATAACCTTTTCCAATCTAATAAATAAACATCCAAAGTCTGGAATTTGACACTGGGGTAATTCAGACCAGAAAGAAGGTGAATGTTTTTAATGGCTGAAGAAAATTAACTTTGTGAGCTTCTGACCCAGTGCTGTGGTTGATTGTCTGTCACTGAAAATATTAAAATCAGTCTTGGGTGTTTCTTTAAAATGTAGCTCCACTCCAACTATTTGATTTGAAACTGAAATTTAATTTAGGGAAATTCTGTATCAGTTTTAGGCAAAAGTGTTTGATGGAGGAGAAATCCATGAACATTGTTGTTTTCATTGAACAGTTCCCTGTGGAATGTGCTACAGGGGGTTTCCAGACCCTTGGGTGATGTCTTGCACACCCCTGAGGGCTGCTGCCTGTGCTAGCTCTGGCTTGCCTCTCTGCCCAAAGTGACTCTATCTGTATCACTCCTGCCCAGGCCTTTGAGTGACCACCTTCACTGCCTCTGCCAGAGCTCTGGTGGGACTATTGCTGAGAAAAGCAGTGATCTTATCAGTAGTTTCAACCTTATAGTTGTGTGTCCAGTGTACCATCCCCTTTGCTGTTCATCAGAAGGGTAGTGTAATTTCTTCAGATAATTTCCTCAGGATAGCTGTCCATAAGCATGGAAATTATTTTATTTTGAAGTGATGGTTCCAGTTTTTCACCAACATTTTGCACATAGCAGTTTTCTAGATTATCTAGACCTAATAAATTCAATTTCTATTGAAAAAAATTCTATTCATATAGTAAAATATGATATCTCAAAATTTGACTTAGCTGCAAATTTGAAAAATCTGAAAAAAAGGTGACATGAGAAAAAACATTAGCATCCCACTTCTGGTTACCCTGACTGTGTTTGCATAACGTCTTGTTGCAGTACTAACACTTAAAATTAATTAATAACACGTGCCAATGCTAAAGTAGCATAGTTTAAGTGGGCTTTCAAAATGGAAACTGGAGGCACTTGCACATTTTTTACATTGTTATTTTGTGTGAAGCAGTACCAGTGTGCAGTGAGTTTTCATTTGGGCAAGAAGCTCTGCTGGGAATGCCAGCAGCCCTCCCTGTGCCAGGCTCCAAACTGGCTCTGCTTGGAAGCCCTGAAATGGTTCCATTAAAGTCAGCAGGAGGTATTATTCAGCCTATTCACCTCAAGTGCCCGATGTTTTCCCCAAGCCAGAGGACATCCAGCCGCCCACCCGGCAGCGCGGTCGGGCCGGGGGCGGCGCGGGTGAGGCTGCGCTGGGCAATCCCTGCCGGCTCCACTGCGCGGTGCTCACGGCCCTGCTCTCTGCTTTCAGCCTGTGAAGATGGATATAAGCTGGAGAACGAGACGTGTGTGAGGTATGGTGACTGTTCTGCCCTCCTCCCACCCCACCATCCTTGCTCTGGTGACCTGTTGGCACAACTGAGCTGCTGAAACTCCCTGTTGTTCTCTGTTCCCAGCTGCCCCTTTGGCTTGGGTGGATTCAACTGTGGAAACCGTGAGTACCAAATTTCATTCCTTTCATTTCCTACTGTGTCAGAAGTAGGAGATTTGAAACAAATAATTGCAAGTGACTGTGTCTAAAGTGCAGTAGGTACACGCTACTTTTTTCAGTGCTTTTTGTTCCTTCATTTTCTCTTAAAAGTCATTTTGTGGACCTTCTTTTACAATGCTGACTTAATGTCATCTAAGGAAAGGAGATCTCCTTTCCCTGTATAGTCTGTCAGGGTAGCACATGTAGTGGGTACTCTTGAAGCAAGGTATTTGAAGGTGAATCCATTTGAGTTACTCTGATATATTGGTGAAGTTAATCTATTCCTTAGGGAAACAAGAACTTGTTTCTATTTCACTTGAAAACTTAAGGCTATATTGCTTATGGGGAGGTGGGAAGGTGGAAAATAAGCCGCTAATCCCTTTGCATGGGAGCTGTGGATATAAACTGGGGTTTAAAACCACACTGCTGTTTCTCAGCCTCTGTCTCTCCTGTCTGCAGCCTACCAGCTCATCACGGTGGTGATTGCAGCGGCAGGAGGGGGACTGCTGCTGATCATGGGCATAGCACTGATCGTCACCTGCTGCCGGTAGGTACCGCTGCCAGCCCGCCTCAATCCCCCCCGTGGATTGCACCACACCCAGGGCTCCCCGTGTGAGCTCTTAAGGACTAAAACATAGCATAGCTAAGGACCAAAACATAGGCTAAGCAAGTGGGGTAATCTGAGATACTGAAGTATCACACTGTGCTTTCATTTGGAGAATTTTTAATTTTTTTTTTCCCCAGCAGCCAGGCTAAACGATGGACTGGGTGTCTCTTAAAGGTACACCTGGAAATCATGTCCTCTAAGGATGGAGAGGCAGGAGAGTCCTTCCCATGCAGAGCTGTGAGGCTCTGAAGCCAGGAAGCAGACTCCAAAAGTGCAAGCTAAGTAGAAAGGAGCAGTTTAGGCAACAGGAGAGGTTACTTGCTGTTGCTCAAGTGGTGTTTGAGTGTATTTAAGGCTATTTTCATTCACCTTTATGGATAAGTCTGCATGTACTCTCACTCTGTGTGTCTCTCCCTCTCACACAGACACTCACACACATACACACCTCATTCCCATGCCCACAGGTGGCTTTTGACAAGATATGTTTGCCTAGGAAGCTCTATTTCCTGATATATGTAATCTGAAAAGGGATGCCTTGCAGTAACACCCTCTCCTTGCTATTCCAGTCCCCAAATCTAGGATTTCAAAGCTCTCTGATAAAGATGGCAACTGGATTTGTCAGTAATATAGATGTGGCAGTGGTTTGGTTGTGCCCCTGTTACCCCATATTTTCAGCCAGGGGGATGCCAGCAGGAGATGAGGTGGCCCAGAGTGCAGATCTCCACAGGGGTGGACTGATCTTCTCTTGAGCCCTGGCCTTGGGCAGCTTATGTGACTTCCTGGAGGATACTCTGCTTTGAATTGGAAGTGTCACCAAAGTCCACACATTAACCATTATAGTCCTGGAGGGACATTTGGTGTCACTCAGGCCAGCTCCTTGCAGGTCTTCCTTCTTAGGAATCAGCACAGTGCCTACAAGTGCTATAGTTAATAGCATGGGGACTTCCATATGTTTTTATTCATCAATTTCCTTGATTTTTCATTGACTTAGATGAACACACATGTTTTTAAGAGACAAGGGGCATAGCTGGAACAGGAGGGGATCAAACTGAATGTAGGGAAATATTCTTTCACCAAGGGAGCAGTAAGGCAGTGGAACAGGTTGCTCAGGGAGTTTGCCATGTAAATTTGGAGATTTCAAGTCCCACCAGATAATGCCATCTGAGTTGCGTGACCTGATTTCATATCTGACTTGGCTTCAGAGCAAATGGCTGGACTATAGTCCTTCTGAGGTGATCTTTGTTCCCAGTCAAGATTCATAACATCAAGTAATGATCTCTCCTGAGATCATGCCAGAAGTGTATACAAGACAGCAGGATAAGTTGCAAGTTTTCACTTTCCCTCATTCTTTTATAAACAGGAAGAATAAAAATGACATAAGTAAACTGATTTTCAAGAGTGGGGATTTCCAGATGTCACCTTATGCTGAATATCCGAAGAATCCCCGGGCACAGGAGTGGGGCAGAGAGACCATCGAGATGCAGGAGAATGGAAGCACCAAGAACCTGTTGCAGATGACAGATGTGTATTATTCGGTATCTATCCATAGATTAACTTTTAATCCCTTGTGCCTCGTACAGGAAAGAGATATTCCTTTATTTTTGGAAGTGCAGATCCCTTTCCTGCAAGATAAAAGGGCAAAGCAAATATCTTCCATAGCAAGGCATTTTAGGAGTCCTATGGGCTCTAGCTATTACCTGTGGTGAATATCACAAAGAGATGTCATTTGGAAGAATGATGAGGAAATGTCTAGGAATAGTTTGGTAAAAATGCTCAAAAATCCCAATCCTAGAATAGGGAAGGACGGTTAAAGGTTTTGGATAAACTGCTAGGGTTCCCTGTTAGCAGTTTTCTCCTGTCCACCCTCACTGATTAAGGGGAAGGTTGAAACCTCTGTCTGGGGAACTTTGCCCCAGAATAGGAAGATGCTGGTCACTGAGGACCCCTCTTTTCCTCCATTCCTTCCCTCTTCAGGATACATAAGGAGCATCCCTTCAGCTCTGAGGAATTAAGGAGTAATAGGCTGTGTAGGGCACAGAAAGACACAAGCTCAAGTTGTTATGGCATGGTTGGTACCATCTGCTAATGGCTGTATCCAGAGCTGTGGTGCTGCTGTATCATCTGTCACTCATTTTCAGCAACATGTCCTTAAGGTGTGTGTGGGTTACTCATGAGAGTGAAAGTCATAGGATTTCACCCAAATCACACATTCTGGTCTCCTTGCTTTCCAGAGCAGAGAGCTTTACTATTTTCCTGGCTTATAGTTTAAGCTTTTCAGTGAGCAAATTTATTGGGTTGCACAGCATGGAGTCGAACAATTCTCCTTCATGCTTCCACTAAGAATAGGATATCTGAAATGAAGATGCGTTTCCTAATTTTTTAGACTAAATAAAGACTCTCATTATGCTGGTAATGAGAAATGGAAACTTTTTAGCAAGCAGTAGGTGATGAGGGTTTTGCATGGACCTGCTCTAGAACAGATTAAACCCAGAGGCTTCATGTTATTCACTGGGTGAAAGGATTGTACAGACTTGATCTTAGGCATCAGTGTTCCTCCACCAAGTGTCCCCAGAAATCTTACTTAGTTACAAGAAGGGGAGAGAAAGGAAGATCAGATAGTTTTGTATTTGACATATAATTCAAGGGACTGTGTTGGGAGAGGAGGTACCTATGGTAAATGGGGAGAGAAGTGCCCAGGTAATACTCAGAGCAGGAGACTACCTTTGATTTTCTGTAATTGTCTCCTTTAAGGATGGCTCTAGGATGATATCCTTTTAATGAGAGTTGAGCTCAATACCTGAGCTCAGCAGTTGAGCTCAATACCTGAGCTCAGCAGTTGAGCTCAATACCTGAGCTCAGCAGTAGATTTTTTTTTTAATTAAACTTGGACCGCATTTGGCAGAGTCAGGTAAGTTTCAAATCTGTTCATTGGCCAGATGTTGAAATTAGATTTCACAATAATAATCCCTTCAGGCAATGCAGCAAAAATCATTCTAGATTATAGAGATCATTAGAGATCCCATTGTTCCCTCTAGCTACTGATCCAACAGCAAAGAAATGTGGTAATGCTGTGCCTGAAGAAGGATTTGAGTGTGAGAATGAGACCCTTTTTTTTCAACATTTTTTTTTTTTTGCTAATACAGCCAACTGGACTGAGAAATCCTGAACTGGAAAGAAATGGACTTTTTCCTCCCTACACTGGTTTGCCTGGATCTCGACATTCGTGCATCTACCCCGGACAATACAATCCGTCCTTCATTAGTGATGAAACCAGAAGAAGAGACTATTTTTAGCAAAGAGTGGAGAGGGAGTGGAAGATTGACACAGTTGTGTGGCCCTTAATTCCCAGGTACAGTCTGTCTCCTGGGTAGTTGAGGCCACATCAATCTTACTCTTCCCATTTAATAGGAAGGACTTTGAACTTCATGCTGAGCATTGCTGCCCTGAGGGACGGTCACAGTTGCTGAGCATCAGAGAGGAGGAGGAAGAGGAGGGAATGGCTCAAGAAGCACATCACTAAAAGACTCAGTGGGAAGCTAACACGTGTACTCCTTATTCATTCTTCACTCTTCGCGCTACACGGGCAAGCATGGATCAGTACAGGCAGATGAACTGTGCCCAGCACTCTGCATTGAATACCACTAGGGAGTGTCTTGTTTACAGATCTCGTTCACTGTTGACTGTGCTTGTCTTCCTAGCCAGCCTTCATGCAAAGATTCACTGTGCAATTGCTTTTGGTCAGGCAAGTTTGGCCACTCCCTTTTAGATCACTGCCTCGCTGTTGGTTTCGTGCATGACAGGGAAGCTGACTTGTGTTCACCTTCATACTGGTAAAAGTTCTCCACATTTCTGTGTCCTTGCCAAAGCCAGGTGTCTGGCAATATTGGCTGAATTTGTGGGTTGATTGTCTCCTAGGAGTGCAGGAAGGTTAGTCACACCACTGCAATTTTAACAGAAAAAAGGCACAGTTGTTCCTCTGTGCTGCTTTGAAAACCTTCTGTATATAGGGAATGTTGTTGTTTTGTCAACCAATATTGTTCAGAAGTGATGCCACTACATGCCATCGTGGTGCTTCCATGTGGGATCCTTTGGGGCTCTGTTTCCCTGCAAGGAATTAAATGCCTGTAGACACAGCAATACAATATTAAATAATTACTCACAGGGAAGAAGAGCTGTGAATTCAGAATGCTTTTTGTGAGGAATCTGTGAAGAAGTAATAATGCTGTAGCCTTGGCTAGGTAGAGGAACCTGAATTCTGGGCGCTGAAGGTCAAATATATTTTCAAACTTCCAGAGTCCACCTTGAATTTGTAGGTGCTGTGGAGACTTTCAGTACATTGGAAAAGAGAGGGCTTACTGCAGTCAGTTGCATTTAAGGAAGAGAAAAACATGATGCTTGCAATCCTAGCATAGCAAAGATCACTTATGTTGAAGTGTTTTTCTTTCTTCCATCCTAGTTTTGAGTGATTCAGACCAGGCAAGTTTCCTCACCCAGGTGTGTTCGTTCATATTAGCAGAAGCTGAAGAATTTAAGTTATTGCATTTCTCACCAAAGATCAGGTTGAAACTCATGGACTGTATTCTGACCTAGAGTGAGTGTGGAAAGAGATCTTACTAATCACAGAATCCTGGAATGGGTTGGCTTGGAAGGGATCTTACAGATAATTTTTTTCCAACTCCTCTGCCATAAGCAGGGACACCTTCCACTAGACCAGGTTTCTCAAAGCCCCATCCAACCTGGCTTTGAACACTTGCAGGGATTGGGTAACTTCTCTGGGCAACCTTTTTCCATTCTCATAGTGAAGAATTTCTTTCTTGTAACTAATCTAAATCTACCTTCTTTGCTTTAAAATAATTTCCCTTGTCCTTTCCCTACATGCCCTTGTGAAAAGTCCCTCTCCAGCTTTTTTGTAGACCTCCTTTAGTTACTGGAAGGTGCTCTAAGGTCTCCCTGGAGCCTACTCTTCTCCAGGCTGAACAGATCCACCTTTCTCAGACTGTCTTCATAGGAGAGGTGCTCCAGCCTCTGACCACCTTTGTGGCCTCCTCTGGCCTCATTTCTTCAGATGGGAGCACTGAACACAGCACTGCAGATGGGGCCTCAGGAGAGCAGAGCAGAGGGAGAGGATCCCCTGCCCACCCTGGCTCTGGTGCTGCCCAGGACACAATTGGCTTTCTGGGCCGTGAGAGCACATTGCTGGGTCATGTTGAACTTCTCACCAACCAACACCCCAAGTCCTCAGGGTTAGTTTCTATTCTCCAAGAGCCTGCATTTGTGCTGAGGATTGCCCTGGCTCACATTTGGGAAATATAATTAAATATCATGAAGTATATTTACCACTTATCTTTACTGCACTGTTAATCTGAGTCATCGAAAGCCTGTTTAGATACAAGGTCCAGATGCAGTTTCTCCTCTTGAATGTGAATGTGCTTTTAATTCAAGGTGGCTGCTTGTATAAGGATAACAAATAGCACAGTTCCATTGTCACTAACTCACCATATCTGTGGTGTGTGCATAATGTGACATTCCCTTCTCCCCTACCATGCTTTAGAAGACACAGTCCCTACAGCTAAGTTCATTAGGTAGCTCAGCTGACTGAAGCACTGAGGATAATGGGGTGCATCCCCCAAAGTGCCTAACCCCAGTTCAGATGCTCATGTGTTGTGTGGCTGCTCACTGGAGGCAAGCCTGGGGTAATGAGGAGCTCTCCATCAGGAAGGAGGTCCTTGCATCCTACAGGTGGTGTGAGTTCCCAGATCCTTTCCCAGCACCTCAAAGGCTGTTGTGTTCCCTACCAAAGGTCAGTAACTGGTATCCAGAGGGAAGTGAGACAGAAACAGGCAATTATAAGCTGTGTTGGCTTAGAGGTTTCTGGTCCCTGCTCACAGTTGCTTCTCTTTTCTCAAAACTTCAAGACAGGAAAGGTGCCACAGATGTGCCTGAGAAGGCACAGTTCAGTGCACCAGCCACAGCACACAAACACAGTGTCTTTTTTATGCCTCAGCTCTTGTCTTCTATGTAGAAGCAGCAGTGTGAGCTTGCAGAGAAACAGAGCTTTATGGACACCTAGGTCAGTACCCTTTGCACTTACATGAACTTTTGGTGACAATGCATGCAACTTCACACCTATCTGATCCATAATCAGCCTTGCAGCTGATTGGGATCTCAGGTGTAGGGGGAAAGGAATGGATGCTCATGGCAAGTACAGCTGCCTAAGGAGCTGTATTTAGGGAAAGCTTTACTTACAGTGTCCAAAATATTACAACAGGTAAAGCACAAGAATTAGGCGTTCTCTCCCACTCTGATTAGAGTTTTCATCCAGGACAGAAAGGACTGCCTTTCCCCTGGTATGGAGCAGAGCTATGTTTTTGTTACAAAAGAAAAGAAGAAGATGCAATTCATGCTAAATCTAAATCCAAAGTCTATAGAGAAGCACTGGACTTTGTCCCTTTTCAGTAAAGTAGCTTGTGATAAGGAGATGTCCCAGCAATGATGAGAACCCCATGATTTGCCCATGTGCCAGCATTTCCTCAGATGGGGAAGCATTTAGGCCTATGCTTGTAGGCAAAGATGTTTAACTGCTTGGTTAGCTCAAAGACTAGGAGATGAACTTCTACGTGTCAGGTACAAAGGGCAAAGTGTGGCACCAACTCACAACTGCAGATCAGTCCTTCTGCAGTAAGAGTATATGAACAAAACTTCTGGTCTGTATCTGCCAGCACATTGCAAATTGCAAGGGATTTGAATGGAATTGAGATAGGACTATTTCTAAAGAGAGCACACAAAAGTTTGCAAGTAATAATTTTAATACCTTAATGGTCTTCAAAGTCTTCTTGAATTGTATCTGGAGAGAAAGAGTCTTAGTAAATCCAGCAGGATTTTCTGAGTGAGGACTGCAAAACTTGGAATTTTCTGAAAGAGTGTTATTGCACTGAAATTTTCTCTCTGCCAATGGAGGTAAACGTTGGGGCATTTCTTATGAGGGTTTATCCCTTGCAGCCTGACCTTCTATGTAGCTTGGATAAGGAAGGAGTCTCAGAGCCAATGTATAGTCCACAGAAGGAGGGGAAAAAGGGTCTCTCCTGGCTTGCCACACCTTCTCTGGGTGTCTTAGGAGGCCCTGCCCAGCAGGCAAGAGAGGGGTTCAGGCAGGAGGAGTCAGCACCCAGATGAGTGCAGGTGCTTTCCCCGAGTGTTCCAGGAAGCTTTTGGGAAGGTGACAGAACCAGCCTGGGGTGATTCAGCCCCTGGGTTTCCACCAGCCCAGCTGCAACCTGTGCTGCAGTGCTCCTGTCTCTGGTGCAGAGCACTGTGTTGTGTCACAGTTTATGGTGCTTGTTTCAGTGCAGTGTTCACTGCCTCACCCAGCAGTACAGACTCGCCCAGCCCCAGCAGGGATGGGGGCAGTGTTCCAGTGCAGGTTGTCTCTCTGTAAAGCTGCCACCAGGCTCCTCTCTGTGTCTGCCATGAGCACAGCTCCCTTTGGCAGTGGAGTGGGGCTCGTCACTCCTCTTGCGTATAAGAAGGGTCTCTATGTGCCCTCAAGCCCACTTTCAAAATCATATTCTTCTCTGTTCACAACCTAACTCCCTGTAGGATGTCTAAATACATGCACCTTATTTCTCATCTTTCTTTTAGATTACTTCTAGCTACCCCAAATTGAAAATTTTGAGCACACTGGATGTTTTTGCCAAGGGGAATCACTCTCCACTATGCGAGAGGATAGGAGGGAAGTGGCATGTTTTTGGTATGGAGAATGCAAGTGGTTCAGCCAGATGTGGAGAAAGGAAGAAAAACTACACCAACACTGCTCATAAATCTGCTATTGCTCCTGGCTGCTGTGCAAAGTGTGGGGAGCAGTCAGCAATGACCCATGGGCCATTGTGTGGGTGTGTTTTTAATTAAATTTGGGAAAAAAAATGCTAATTCTGTTGCTTGACAGGAAAAACTGTGAGAGGCATGTGTTTGCTGCTATGGTGCTCTGCCAGTTATACTGATAAAATTTCTTACCCACAAAAATACCCTCTGACAGTCAGCATAGGAGAGGCAGTCCCTGAACTGATCAGCAAAACACAGATTTGAGGAATCTTTCAGAAGGCATCTTGCACATACAGTCTTCCTGTGTCCTGCTGCTTGCCCTGGCCAGTCCTTCCAGCTGTACTGGGAAAATCAGGCTTGTTTTTTCACACTGTTGAAACCTCACAGCACTGAATTGGGCTATAAGTGGAAAAAGTGGGCCAGGTTTTCCTCCACACTGGAAGTGTTAGGTTTTATGGCAGCAATGAATCTCATTGCTCTTGTGGCATTTCCCATAAGACCCACTGGCACAGTCATGTACTGAGTTACTGCTCATGAACTGCTTTATGAAAGTTACCTGCCTCCACACTGCAGGGTAGTAAAAGGCTTTAAAAACAGCAATAAATTGCAGTGAGAGAGAGGTATTTATCATTGTGAGATTGTTTGTGCCAGTGCTTGTACAGGTTGTTTGCTGGGAGCTGAGTGAGCACAGAGTGGGTTTGGACACTGCTGCAGATATGCTGAGTTGCTTTCTCAGGACTTGTCTCTGATGCTGGTCAATGGCCATATCCATTCCAAATCCAGCTGGAATTTTCATTCCCTAATAGTAATCTTTAGCTTTCTTCCTTAAATTAACAAGAACGGATGCATATTAGTTAAATGCTCTTCCTATGCTGACTAATGTTTTTTCCTCTTTACACACAAAGGATGTAATCCAGCATCCCTACAGTGACTGGGGTAACTCTCCCATGGACTGTAAAGAAGTTTTTTTTAGGACTGAATTACTCCACCACTAGGGTCACCTGCAT